CACGCTCCCGGCCTCACCGCAGCAGAATGGGGTTGCTGAGCGCCGCATTGGCTTGGTCATGGGAGTAGCTCGTACCTCCATGGTCCATGCGGCTGCTCCCCATTTTTTGTGGCCGTTTGCGGTCCGATACGCTGCGCATCAGCTCAACCTCTGGCCCCGTGTCTCCTTGCCGGAGACCTCGCCCACCCTGCGGTGGACGGGGAAGGTTGGCGATGCGTCAGTGTTCCGGATCTGGGGTTCTCGTGTCTTTGTCCGCGATACGTCCACGGACAAGCCCTCCGCCCGCGCTATTCCCTGCGTCTTCCTTGGCTTTGTCCCTGACGCGCCTGGCTGGCAGTTTTACCACCCCACCTCGCGTCGAGTCCTGCCCTCTCAGGACGTCACGTTTGACAATTCGGTTCCCTTTTACCGTCTCTTCCCCTACTGCACTGCACCGCTTCCCCCCCCGCCGCTCTTCCTTGCACCAGGTCCTCCTCCGGTAGACCCCCTCCCTCCGCAGGGCCCTGCTCCCTCAGGTGTGTCTCAGGTAGACGTTGCCGAGCCTGTCAAGGTAGCGGTTGACTCTAGTGCTGCTCCTGGGGGTGGTGCTGCTGGGGGTGCTAAGCCTGAGCGTGCGGAGCCTGGGGGTGCTGAGCCTGAGCGTGTGGAGCCTGGGGTTGCTGAGCCTGAGAGTGTGAAGTCTGGGGGTGCTGAGCTTGGGGTTGCTGAGTCTGAGGGTGCGGAGCCTGGGGGTGCTGAGCCAGGGGGTGCTGAGCTTGGAGGTGCGGAGCCTGAGGGTGCTGAGCCTGCGGTTGCTAAGAATGGGGGTGCTGAGTCTGCTGGAGTTCATGCAGGTGCCTCGTCTCGGCGGGAGCCTCTCTCTCCACCGCAGCTGCGCGAGTGGTTTGCTCGCCGCTGGAGACTCCAGCGAGGTGCTGCTGGAGCTGGAGCTGCTGGAGGTTCTGCTGGTTCTGGAGCTGCTGGAGGTACTGGAGCTGCTGGAGTTGGAGGTGCTGCTGGAGCGGGAGCTGCTCGAGGTACTGCTGGTGCTGGAGCTGCTGGAGGAGCTGGAGCTGATGGAGCTGGAGTTTGTGCTGGAGCTGGAGCTGCTGGAGGTACTGCTGGTGCTGGAGCCCCTGGAGGTGCTGGAGCCGCTGGTCCCGGAGGTGCTCGTACTGGAGGTACAGGAGCTGCTGGGGCTGGTGGTACTGCCGGAGTTGGAGCTGGAGGCGCTAGTGCTGTTGCTGCTGGAGGTGCTACTGGAGCTTGAGCTACTGGAGGTGTTGGAGCTGGTGGTGCTGCGGGAGTTGGAGCTGGAGACCCTGGAGCTGGGGGTACTGGTGCTATCTCTGCTTGTTCTGGAGGCGCTGCGCGGCTGCGGCTGTACTTCGTTCCACTTCTTCAGCAGGTTCTTGGCCTCCCGCATTCCACTGGTCCCACTCTTCCCTTACTATGTCCATAGCTTGCCCCGTCGCAGTCGCAGCTACAGTTAGCCTCTCCACTGCCTGGTCCTTCTCCTTACTCTGGGCCGACTAGAGGTCTTACGGAGCGTTGTGAGCCTGAGTCTCGTCCTGCGTCGCCTGAGTCTCGTCCTCAGTCGCCTGTTCGCGCTGTTCGCACTTGTAGTCGTGTTCCGCGTCCGCGTCCTCCTGCTGTCCCAGGCACGCACCAGATGGCACTTCGTCCTTCCACTGCTCCATTGCGTGTCCCTCTGCCGTCTCCTCCTGCGTCCTCCGTTCCTGACGGTCCGGACCCGGAGTCTGACTCCCTTCGTGCTGCTAGTCCTACTGTCACGCGTCTCATGGCCACTGTTGTCACTGATCCGTCCTTTGAGTCCACTGCTGCGTCTGCCCTAGTTGCTGAGCTTGTTGACTTTGCTGCCGCCTGTCGTCTAGACTACGCCGCTAGTCTTGTTGCTGAGTCTGAGTCTGAGTCTCTCTGTCCTCCGTCCGTCGGGGGTGAGTGTGCTCTTGGCACGGACGTCCTTGAGGACAGACAGGAGGAGTTTGAGTGCTTTGCCGCTGCTTTACCTCATCTCGTGTCCATGCTGCTTGTACCTAAGGGAGACCCGGATGCACCAGACATTCTGACCCCGCGCTCTTACGCAGAGGCAATAGAGGGTCCCTACTCCTCTCAGTGGCAGACAGCCATGGACGCAGAGATGGCTTCTTGGAAGTCCACAGGCACTTACGTCGACGAGGTTCCCCGCCTGGGGCAAACATCGTCAGTGGCATGTGGATTTTCAGGGTGAAGCGGCCGCCGGGTTCTTCGCCTGTCTTCAAGGCGCGTTACGTTGCACGAGGCTTCAATCAACGAGAGGGAGTTGACTTCTTCCAGACCTTCTCCCCCACCCCGAAGATGACCACTCTTCGGGTGCTGCTGCACGTCGCCGCTCAGCGTGACTACGAGCTTCACTCTCTTGACTTCAGCACTGCTTTCCTACAGGGCAGTCTGCACGAGGAGATCTGGCTGCGCCGCCCACTTGGCTTCACTGGGTCGTTTCCTGCTGGTACCCAGTGGAGCCTCCGGCGGCCAGTCTACGGTCTCCGCCAGGCGCCCTGAGAGTGGCACGACACACTGAGGACTACACTTGTGGCTCTTGGGTTTGCTCCTTTCACTGCTGACCCGTCGCTGTTTCTACGTACCGACACCTCTCTGCCGCCGTTCTACGTCCTCGTGTACGTCGACAACTTGGTCTTTGCTACTGCTGACACTGAGGGACTCGCCCACAATTCACTCTGATCTGAGGTCAACACTTCCGCTGAAACAACTCTACCCGCGATCAACCCTGAAACGATCATTCGCCAAGTCATATTTAGTATTGTAACAGAATGTAGCATTTGAACTCGAGCCGAATAGTATTCGACTTCCGTTGTACCCGGGGTTCGAACTGCTCATAGCAATTTCAGGTTTGTCACAACCACTCACTCAAGGTCGAATTTGATTGTTCGACCTAATAGGGGGTGCGCCGAGCCGCCCGTATGGGGTGTAGTTTACCTGGTACAATCCTCTGGTCAACATGCTAACTGTGGTTTTGACGGAGCGTAAATTTCGTTGAGAAGAATTGAATGACTTCGCCCATTCATCGTACGTGCCCAGAACAACACACGTTCGGTTCACTGTGCGCGCCCACTTTTATGCATTGACTTAGTCGAGTTCGGGACATTGGGTCGCATTTGCCATTTGTTCAAAAGAGGAAGCCTTTCGTCAAACGGTTTTCACGAAATTAGAGAAGGCGATAACCATGCAAACTTAGAGCTGTTTTCCGAACCTAGAAAAATATCACACCCCTGAACCAAGGAAAATGTGTTTTTCCTTGCAGTGTATGTGACTTTCAGTTGAGTCCACGAGATCCTTGTGTGGCTCGGGTTGGCCACCTAAAAATCTGTGCTCGGGTTAGGACGCGTTGAAAGTGCAAATATCGCAGGATCGTCTGCATATATCGATCCCCACAATCGAGTGGGCATATCGTTTGGCGAAACGTGGCAACCGCGACGTTGTAACGATCGCGGCTGAAAATTGACAGATTTCCCGCGAACAGCGATCAGTCGCATTCTCACACTGTACGGAAATTTTGGCCAGAAAGCGTATTGTAGCATAGTTACAATGTAGTTAATAGGGTAACCGATCTGTGAATTCGAGCCTTGGCTGGTCAAGATTCAGCTGCGAAACCCTCAAATATGTTACTTGACCGTAACGAAACTGCCCACCTACCCTCAACCTACCGCCAACCCACATACACTCCATGAGAGGTGACTTTCCAAAACGTACACTTGCTTCACACCACCACACCCCTAGCGATTTCGAGACCTGGCATGGCTCACGGCTACGCTCGGCCCCTCCGCGAGTCTGCGGTAGCCTTCCGCCTTACCCTGATTATTGGCCGTCTATATCCGCCGGCTCTTTTCCCTGGAGCCACTTCCTACTTGAGTTTTCTTGGCCCAAGTTCCACGCGGTGGCGCCTCGGGTACTGTGCTTGAAAGTCTACAGTACTTCCAGTTGAATGCTTTGTTTCCTAGGCAGACGACATCGTAAACTTCACGAAAACTTAGTTCTCACGAAAACGTGAACTTCACGAAACGTGAACTACACATTCGGGACTTCCGCGCCGCCAGGTTTACTGTGCTTGAAAGCTTACACCTGATGTCTTTTAAAGTTCCTTTGACTTTCTGGAAGTTTGGACTCACTCGAGCGTCTCTTGTTCATGGGGCAAAATGGGATTCTTTAGTATCCCGGGTTACCAACGGCGCCTGAACTGTATCGCAAAAACGGTTGGTTGACTCGCTTGTTCCAACATTCGCTAGCTCCGCAGTTCACAAAGCACAGGGGTCTACTGGTGGGTTATCTCGTGTCAAGTTTAGGGTTAACCTATTTGGCCCACAATTTTTGAGACGGGATAGTAACAGTGCGTTGCGCGTGGGCCTGTAACGATTGGACCGTTGCATGTAAAACTTGACCAGTTGGACTGTCGGGTGTATTGTGCGGTTTCGCGAGCATGAGTGTGTACTTCACGATGCTTCGTTTCCCAACAACCGACGACAGTGTTTGCGATTTGTAGTCCCGCCGTGTGCAACCGTCCCTACACAGGACGGTTTATTGTGAAACCGAATCGGGTGGCTGTGGACGACGCACCGTCATACACGCGGAGCGGAGATATAAACACGCTACCCGACAAGGAGTTACATGACAAGCAGACTGGAGTGGAGGATGTGTCGCTCGCTCCCCATCTCCCTCCGCCTTCTCTCTGGTGCAAAGAGGGGGAAGAGAGGGGAGTGGGGGGGGGGGGGGGGGAGGGGAGGAGGAAGGTGGGAGTGGAGGGGATCCCCTCTCGAGCTGAGGGTAGTCAGGGGGACGGTCAGTATCCGTCACATCGTACTTAAGCCGCTCGGCTCTCGCTCTTCCACTCCTCTCATCTGCGCATCATCACCAATTTTGCCAGAGCGACTCTGACAGTGCTGCCGCTGGTGCTTCTAGCCCTTCACGCCGCACCTGTTGACTGCGACATCAGCGCGAGGAGAATCATGGCTTCGCACTGCGCGGCTGTGACGCGGAGATTGGGCCTCGTGCTCGCTGTGACTGCTCTCATGCTCTCAGGTATGCTCTAATGAGCATAAGAGTCTCCAAAATGTAGTAACGTCCCGAAACCATCCCAAGGAGTCTTTTCGAACACTTTCAAAGAGGCTCCTGGATCTGCTATCAGGTATTCCCCCCTCCACCTTTTTCCGTTTCTCCCGTCCCCCTTCCTCCACTCCTGCACCACCGGTGCCCGTTACTACTACCGTTCGCCGGCCAGAGAGTAACACCCGCTCATGCCATCCACCTCCTCCCTTCCCTTCTCATCCCATTCCCCTTCCGTTCTTCCCCTTCCCTCCCCTTCCCCCACCTCTCCCCCATCGGCTCTCAGCCTGTGCGCCCAGGGCTGCCGCCGGTCGCCAGCCAGCTGCAAGCAACGGCGCGGCCAGCAGCCTGCAGCAAACCATTGCCCGTCTCCTTGGCCTCACTCCTTCAAAGGGTATGACGGACGCTCAACCTTCTTGGCACTCCTCCTACTCACAGCTCTCACCACTCAGCGATCCCATCGCCGCTCTTTTTATCTCCCCTGCCCATCCATACTCCACTCTTGTCTTGAAACAAAATCTTTGCTCACCACCACGTGTTCATGCTCCGTCTCACCTCGCTTTTGTCTCCTTTTTCCTCTCCTCATCCCTTCCTCTCCTCTCTGTTCCTTTCCTATGGTCACTCAGACAAGCCTCCGGCAGACCCGTGTGTGGCGAAAAAGTGTGGCGCCAATGCGGTGTGCGTGAAGGACAAGGGCGCCGCCAGCTGCGCCTGCAACGTTGGATTCTCCATGACCCCCACCGGCTGTGTTGTTGCTGGTGAGTGCTTCTTTGTTGGTGAGTTCTACGGTGGTGAGTTCTGCGGTGGTGAGTTCTGCGGTGGTGAGTTCTGCGGTGGTGAGTGCTACACGCCACCACAGCTCTGTTAGAGCTTCATGATATCAGATTGAGGTTTGTCACAAGTGGGCAGGGCAGTAGTTGCTTCATCTGCTGTTTTTAAAACCCCCTCACTCGCCCACTTCCTCCCCTCTGCCCCTTTTCCCCAGACCCATGCGTGCTCAAGGCGTGTGGCGTCAACGGCAAGTGCATCAAGGACAGTGCTGGAGTGGCATCCTGCGTGTGCAACACTGGCTTTTTGCTGCAGGCTGACAAGACTACATGCAGCGGTGCGTGTGTGCTGTTGTACTGCTGTCGATTAGGTCCCCTGCTTTATTCCGACGCTATCTGTCACTGTCCCCAATGCATGTGTTTCCTAACCTTTTTCGTACAGGATGCTCTTCCTACTCGCAACGCTTCCACTTCCCTCCTTTCACACACATGCATGAATAAGCTCACTGCTTTGATCCTCGCACTTTTCACCTCTTAAGTAGGGCTTGCGCTCCCCCCACTCACTAGTATGCCTCGTACCCTCCCCTTGGCAGACACTTGTGCGCTCAAGAAGTGTGTTGGTAAATCCAAGTGCGTGAAGAGCGCTGCAGGAGTGGCGTCCTGCGTGTGTGACACTGGCTTCGCGCTGCAGCCCGATGGCGTCACATGCACCAGTATGTGCCGTGCCATGCGCCATGTCCTCTGGCATGTAGGCGATGCCTTGTGCCATTCCATGTGCCATGCCTTGTGTATGTCGTGTGGCATGCGTTGGACCATACCGTCAACTTTCATGCTCATGCATTGTCAGGTGAATGAGCCCTGTCATAGCGTGTCATGACTTGTCATTTGGCCAGTACTTTCCATATCGACCCATTCTCAGCGTCCCCTCACTCGCCCAACTCCCTCTCCTCTTCCCCCTTTTCCCCAGACACATGCGCGCTCAAGGCGTGTGGCAGCAACGGCAAGTGCAACAAGGACAGTGATGGAGTGGCGTCCTGCGTGTGTGACTCTGGCTTCGCACTGCAGGCTGATGGCGTCACATGCACCGCCGGTAAGTGCCACGCGTTGTGAAATGCCGTGTGCCATGCCATGAAATATGCCATGTGCCATGCCTTGAGCTATGTCATGTGTTATGCCATGGACCATGCCGTCAAGTGCCATGCTGATGCATTGTCAGGTGCCAGGAGCCCTGTTAGAGCGTGCTGAGGCTTGTCATTTGGGCAGCCCTTTCCCATATCTACCCCTCGTTCGCTGAACCCCCCTCACCCTCCCAAGGCCCTCCTCTCTGGTCCCCCTTCCCCAGACACATGCGCACTCAAGGCGTGTGGCAGCAACGGCAAGTGCACCAAGGACAGTGCTGGAGTGGCTTCCTGTGTGTGCGACACTGGCTTCGCACTGCAGGCTGATGGCGTCACATGCACCGGTAAGTGCCATGCCTTGTGAAATGCCATGTGTCATGCCATGGGCTGTGCCGTCTTGTCCCGTTGACAGATTCGCACCAGTAGTTGATGACAGAGGCACACCAGTCTTATGCTTCTGGTTATCAAGTAAGTGCTGCTCTCACCTCTCTCCTCCCCCCTTAAATTACTCGCCCAGACACATGTGTTGTCAAGGGGTGTGGCGGCAACGGCACGTGCACCAAGGACGTTGCTGGAGTGGCGTCCTGCGTGTGCAACACTGGCTTTGTGCTGCAGGCTGACAAGGTTACATGCACTGGTATGTGTGCCATGCCATGAGCTATGTCCCCTGCCATGTACCGCGATGCTTTGTCCTCTGCCATGTGCCATGCCTTGTCCTGTGAAACATGCCATGCCTGGTGCTATGCAATGTGCCACGGCTTCTGATATGTCATGCCTTGTGAAATACCATGTGCCATGCCTTGTGCTATGCCATGTTCCGTGCCCATAGACCATGCCGATGCATTGTCAGGTGCCAGGAGCGTGTCGAGGCTTGTCATTTGGGCAGCCCTTTCCCATATCTAACCCTCGCTCGCTCAACCCCCCTTACCCTCCCAACTCCCTCCCCTCTGCCCCCCCTTCATCCAGACACATGCGCGCTCAAGGCGTGTGGAAGCAACGGCAAGTGCACCAAGGACAGTGCTGGAGTGGCGTCTTGTGTGTGTGACACTGGCTTCGCACTGCAGGCTGATGGCGTCACATGCACTGGTAAGTGCCACGCCTTGTGAGATGCCATGTGCCATGCCATGGGCTATGCTGTCCTGTGCTTCAACGTGCTAAGTATTGCAAGTGCCATGCTGATGCGCGCCAGTGCTCAATGACAAAGGCACACCAGTCTAGAAAGCACTGCTTCTGCTTATCAAGTGAGTGTTGCTGTGAGTCATGTAGCTTTGCCCTCTCACCTCACTCCTTCCCCCTGCAACCACTCGCCCAGACTCATGTGTTGCCAAGGGGTGTGGCGGCAACGGCACGTGCAGCAAGAACGTTGCTGGAGTGGCGTCCTGCGTGTGCAACACTGGCTTTGTGCTGCAGGCTGATGGCGTCACATGCACCGGTATGTGCCGTGCCATGTGCCATGTGCTCTGTCATGTAGGCGATGCCTTGTCCTATGCAACGTGACATGCCTGGTGCTACGCAATGTGCCACGCCTTGTAATACGACGTCATGTGCCATGGCTTCTGATATTTCATGCCTTGTGAAACACCATGTGCCATGCCATGGCCCATGCCATCAAATGCCATGCTGATGCATTGCCAGGTGCCAGGAGCATATCGAGGCTTGTCATTTGGGCAGCCCTTTCCCATATCTAACCCTCGCTCGCTCAACCCCCCTCACCCTCCCAACTCCCTCCCCTCTGGTACCCCTTCATCCAGACAAATGTGCACTCAAGGCGTGTGGCGTCAACGGCAAGTGCACCAAGGACAGTGCTGGAGTGGCGTCCTGTGTGTGCGACACTGGCTTCGCTCTGCAGGCTGATGGCGTCACATGCACCGGTATGTGCCACGCCTTGTGAGATGCCATGGCATGGGCTATGCCATGTGCCATGCCATGGGCTGTGCCGTCTTGTGCTTCAACGTGCTAAGTATTGCAAGTGCCATGCTGATGCGCGCCAGTAGTCGATGACAGAGGCACACCAGTCTTGTGCTTCTGCTTATCAAGTGAGTGCTGCTGTGGGTCATGTATTACCTTCCTCTCACCTCACTCCTTCCCCCTGCAACCACTCGGCCAGACACATGTGTGCTCAAGCAGTGTGGCGGCAACGGCACGTGCATCAAGTCCCTTGGAGTGGCGTCTTGCTTGTGCAACCCCGGCTTTGTTCTTCAGGCCGACGGTTCCACATGCACTGGTGCGTGCTGCATCCCGCATGCACTCGTCGTGTGCTAAAATCCCGCATGCACTCGTCGTGTGTGCTGAATCCCGCATGCATTCATGTGTGCTGAATCCCGCATGCATTCATGTGTGCTGAATCCCGCATGCATTCATGTGTGCTGAATCCCGCATGCATTCATGTGTGCTGAATCCCGCATGCATTCATGTGTGCTGAATCCCGCATGCATTCATGTGTGCTGCTATATGTTGTCCAACAAACAAGGTAGAGTGTGTGATGGCATGAACTCTTTCAACGCTGTGTTGTGCTGTGCAGTGCAACACAACCTGTGCAAGGGTGTGTGCGTGGAATATATTGAATTAATTGCATAGTCTCACAAACTCTTTTCACTTTCAATGTCCCTCTCTCCTTCCCTCCCTTCTCTCCTTCTCTCCCCTCTTGCGTTTCCTCCCTGCCTTCTCTCTTTCCCACCCTCCACCCCCCCTTCCCTCACTCCTTCCTCCCCGCTCCCTCCCGTTCTCATCGGTTTTGCTTTCCTACTGTTCTCCGATCAGATACGTGCGTCATCAAGAACTGTGGTGCCAATGCGAATTGTGTGAAGGACGCTCAAGGCGTTGCATCCTGTGTTTGCAAAACGGGCTTCCAGAAGGTGTCAGGCATTTGCACTGGTACGCAGCATCTTTTCGATTAGCCGTGCAGTCGATTCTGTTTTGATCCCACTAGACCTCTGTTCACAGTCAATCTCTCCCACTCTCCCTCCTCCCTGCTTTCCTCCCTCCTTCCGTCCCTCCTTCCGTCCCTGATCTCACGTTCTCTCCCCCATTTCCTCCCTTTTTAGCCTCAGTTTCCCCTCAAACGTCACTGCTTACGCCTCCCTCGCTTTGCCTCTTTCCCTCTGAACCTTTCCTTTTCTCTTTTTGTGCACGTCTGTACTCACATTTCTTGTGTGCACGTCTCTTCCAAACTCCCCTTCATTACTCTTTCCCTCTTCCCGTCCCTTCTGCACCATCCTCGCCCATTTCCTCCACTCCTCACTCCCCTCCCCCGTCGCTCCTCTCCTCCCACCCAGACACCTGCACGATCAAGAACTGTGGTGCAAACGGCCAGTGCAGCAAGAACCCCACTACTGGAGCAGCGACCTGTGTGTGTGACACTGGCTTCGTGCTGCAGGCTGATGGCGTCACATGCACCGGTATGTGCCACGCCTTGTGAGATGCCATGGCATGGGCTATGCCATGTGCCATGCCATGGGCTGTGCCGTCTTGTGATTCAACGTGCTAAGTATTGCAAGTGCCATGCTGATGCGCGCCAGTAGTCGATGACAGAGGCACACCAGTCTTGTGCTTCTGCTTATCAAGTGAGTGACCTTAGTGAGTCATGTGAGTAAATTCTCCCTCTCAACTCACTCCTTCCCCCTGCAACCACTCGTCCAGACGCATGTGTTGTGAAGGGGTGTGGCGGCAACGGCACATGCAGCAAGAACGTTGCTGGAGTGGCGTCTTGCACTTGCAACGCTGGCTTTGTTCTTCAGGCCGACGGTTCCACATGCACTGGTGCGTGCTGAATCCCGCATGCCCTCATGTGTGGTTGAATCATGTGCCAGGGTTTGTACGTTGAAACTTTCAGATTGATTGTATAGTCTCACTAGCTCTCTATTCACATTGCATCTCCCTCTCCTTCCCTCCGCTCTCTCCTTCTCTCCCCTCTTGCGTTTCCTCCCTGTCTTCTCCCCTTCCAACCCTCCACTCCCTCCTTCCCTCACTCCCTCCTACCCGCTCCCGTTCTCATCGGTTTTGCTTTCGTACTGTACTCCTTTCAGATACGTGCGTCATGAAGAACTGTGATGCCAATGCTAATTGTGTGAAGGACGCTCAAGGCGTTGCATCCTGTGTTTGCAAGACGGGCTTCCAGATGGTGAACGGCGCTTGCACTGGTACGCAGCATCTTTCCGATTAGTTGCGATTACTCGTTTCTGTTTCTCTCCCACTAGACCTCTGTTCACAGTCACTCTCTCCCTCTCTACCTCCTCCACACTTCCCTCCCTCCTTCCCTCCCGCCTTCCGTCCCTTCTTCCCTCCCTCCTTCCCTCCCTCCGTCAGTCCCTCCTTCCCTCTCTCCGTTCCTCCCTCCTTCCCTCCCTCCTTCCCTCCCTGCTCTCACGTTCCCTCCCCCATTTCCTCCCTTTTTATTCTCAGTTTCGCCTCGAGCTTCGCTGCTTACCCCCCCCCCCCCCCCCCCCCTTCGCCTCGAGCTTCGCTGCTCCTTTTGTGCACGTCTCTACTCACACTCCTTGTGTGCACGTCCCCTTCCAAACTCCCCTTCATTACTCTTTCCCTCGTCACGTCCCTTCTGCACCATTCTCGCCCTTTTCCTCCACTCCTCACTCCCCTCCCCCGTCACTCCTCTCCTCCCATCCAGACACCTGCACGATAAAAAACTGTGGTGCGAACGGCCAGTGCGTCAAGAACCCCACTACTGGAGCAGCGTCCTGTGTGTGTGACAATGGCTTTACGCTGCAGGCAGATGGCAAGACGTGCTATGGTATATGACTAAACTGCTGTGTGCTACTCTATGTGGTTCTGTTCGCTACTCTGTGTGGTGCTTTGATTGCTCCTGTCTTGATTTCATGTCCCTTCTCCAACCTCCAACGCATGGTGGGTGATGCTAGCTTGAAGTGCTGCTGTGCTGCCTCCAGTGCCAATGGCTTCACTGCTCTCGTTTGAACTATCTTGTCGTCTTCAATCTTGAATCCCACTACCCCTCATTTCGCGTCCTCTCCACCCTTCTCCCGTCTGCATCGCCTCTACCCCCACCCAGCGCCATGCTATCCGGGGTGTGGTGCGAACATGCACTGTGACACCACTACTGCAGTGGGGTCTTGTGTGTGTGACACTGGTTATGAGCAGGACTGGGCGGCTCCTGAAAACTGCGTTGGTAGGTGCTGAGTGTTGTGCATGTGTGTTCATTGGCTGCTGTGTGCTTCTGTGTCACGCCGCTGTGATCTAGCCAGTGCAGCGACCTAGCGCGTCAGATGTTCGCAGTTGTGCTGCCTCTACCATGTGATGGTAACTCCTGCTGTCGCAGAGTTCTCACACCTCCTTGTGCATCCCTCTTTTATGATCTCGTTTCTTATTCAATCCCCCCCTTACCCCTTTCGCCTGAATCTCAGTTTTTGTTCAATCCTATCTCCGTTTGGTGTGTTTCTCTCTACTTCCACCCACCCCTGGTCCCACTATTCGTGTCTCGGTGTGCCATGTTCTCTCACCCCAACTCCTTTCCAGATAAGTGCTATTACTATGGGTGTGCCCCGGGACAGACGTGCATGTTCAATCAGTACAATGGGGACCCATACTGTGATGGCATGCCCCAAATCTTTGATTTCCTGTAAGTTCCACCCTCCAAGGCACACGCGCGTGAGGATTGCTTGTGGAGGAACCAATGCTAATTGACCCATCGTACTGCTGCCATCTCTCGTATTCTAATCTCATGCCATGAACCTCTCACTTCATCCCTTGCATCTCCATCTCCTTATTTGTCTTTCCCCTCAACAGGTAAGATGCTCTCAGTAGCTGTGACAAAACATCTGATCACTCCCATGACCGCACATTCCCATCATGCCTGTGAAAGCACCCATCAGCCACTCCTTTCAACCCATCAGCCACTCCCGTCATCCCATCAGCCACTCCAGTCATCCCATCAGCCACTCCAGTCATCCCATCAGCCACTCCAGTCATCCCATCAGCCACTCCTGTCATCCCATCAGCCACTCCTGTCATCCCATCAGCCACTCCTGTCATCCCATCACCCACTCCCGTCATCCCATCAGCCACTCCCGTCATCCCATCAGCCACTCCTCCAGCTGTTGTTTCTTGCGAAAGGGGCACTTGAGGCCAAGAGGCTGAAGGCATGGAGAATGTCCCTGCTTGAGTGCCTCTAGAAGGGAGGATAGAGAGGGGGGGTTCGACTTTTGTGTGATTTGCCTTACAAGGGAGCAAGATCTCCATGCACAAGGGCACAAGAAAGGCTCTAAATTGGTTTTAGGGTACCTTGTATGTTTGGCCCACGGCTAGGTGAGATTTTGAATGCCCTTGCTCAAAATGGGCAAATTCAGGTTTTGTTTTTTCGATCACTCTGATCCTAACTTGTTCTTTTCACTATGTAATAATATGCTCATTCAACATAGACAACAAGCATGCCTACATCTACAAACTGCGTGCGGCCAGCTGTTGTCCCTTGAAAGTGACGTTGCAGGGGACGGTTCTTCATGCCACGGAAGACATCCGCCACCTCAAACCAGTCTATGCGATACTCTAACAGAGAGCAGCGCATCCACGACTCCAGGCTGTTACCGGTATAAGAAAGGCATCCACAATGTTGGAATAACCGAAAAGTTATCATAACATCCCCGAAGGTTCTCTCCTAGCGCACCCCTCCATAGCGAAGCAGCGCTACGCTACTGTACCACCGCAATAGCTCATATTGAGCACGCGGCAGACAGAGAGTCACCCGAAGGTCAACAGTCATCCGAAGTCGACGGTCGTGACTGTTGATTGGCCAGCAACCGCATCAGAGGTTACGCGATGCAACCTGATAACTGTCGAGAATGGCAATAGCCGCGGTTACTGTAGCTATGCAATTCAGTTAAATATGGGAATGTACCCCTCAGAGTACATGGCTAGCTAGTTTGCTTTTTGTTACAATCCCAAGAGGGACTGAGCGAAGGATCGCTCAGGGTTGATCGCAGAATAGTGTTGCAGCGGAAGTTTGAATCTCAGGTCAGAGTGAATGTAAATGACTGAGTTGATAATAGCATGCATACATCGAGTTTAAATAAGAATACAGGGAATACGAAAAGACCTAGACTAGCCATGTACTCTAAGGGGTACATTCCCTTATTACAACCGAATTCAAACCGTGCGGCGCGGGAACCCGTTTCAAACCTGTTCCCGCCTTTTTCACTTCAAATGTTTCTGCCTGCATCGATCTTGGTCAGACGGTTGCTGCGTCGCTTCGACTCTTCTGACTCCTCGACTTCGTACTCGGTAGAGTCGGCTCCTGCAGCATACAGGAATGCCTTCTCATAAAACTTCATATCGTAACACTTTTTATACCCTTGTACTCCTAACTTATAATCATTTTGTTTTTTTTCAAATATTATTAACAAGGTCACTACAAAGACTTCATTCTCTTCCCTCAACTTAGCAGTCTTATCTACTACGATTCCCAGTTGTATCAGCATGGTATGAGAGTTAGAGTGGATTATAAGCATGCCAAATTCCTGTTGTTTCTAGAACAAACCCTCTATAAAATTACTCAAATTTGTTACAAGTCTGCATCTCTATGGCTGTCGAAGGAAAAGCTACTGCAGACTCTCCGGGCCCACCACCAGTAACGACTAATGCGCCATCAGCGGTGACTTCCGTCAGCGCCGCTCTCGTTGAACAGCTAGTCACTCGCATCAACGCTCTTGTGAACCATCAAGCCATGAGCATTGACACCTCAAACTACGCAAGAGGGGTTGCTGGACTTCCTCTCCCTGGAGAAGACCGACGTGTCAACTCCGAGAGATCTTTTACATTTGACAACCGTAAAGCTTCAGCTTCTGCGCAAAACAGTCAACAACGCGCACAGCCAGAAGCAATTACAACAATGCAAACAAAATTTGTATTGACATCAAAACTGAAGACTTCAACGCCTTTCGACAGAGATGATTTCTACACGTGGAGCTTCGAATTTGAGCTCCTCGCAACGACCGCACAGATTTGGACGTACTACGACGGGAGCTTACCATTCCCGTCGGATGGTATCATCCAGGAGAAGCACCAGTAATACCACGAATCAGTTCTCGCGTACACCGCTCTTCTCTGAAACCTTTCTCCCACCGAGCATCCGCTCCTACAAATCGGAGTGCGCTCCTGCGCAATTGTCTTGGGAACAGCTGCGCAATTCATACATGGCAATGGTTCCAGTTACCTTGAGTCGCCTGCTCAGCCAACTGACATCAGTCAAAATGCAACAAGGAGAGAAGGTGGGGCCGTATATTAATCGGTGTCGCAATTTGCGCGACCACATAAAAAATTGTGGTGGAACCGTCCCGGACGACATGTTTGTCTCGATGGTCCTCTCCGGACTAGGACCCGATTGGCGTCAATGCCAGTCGTTGCTCCGTGCTCGAGCAACCATTTCCGAGCCCACTGTCTGCGCCACACTCCTCTTCGAGCAAAAGGAGATTGATCTGTACAACGAGAAGAACAACAAGAGGGAGAAGTTAGTGATCTTTACCGGAGCGACACGAAAAGAAGGGAACCTTTTGCAAATGCTGCAAGAAACCGGCTCACACCATAGACCGGTGTTACAAACGACAGGCTGCTGGCGAAAGGCGCAACAATTCATCTGGTCAACATCCCTCGGCGCCCTCTGCAACTCCAGCCATGACAGCAACCATGTCGCCACCCTCTGTCGCTAGCACGTCCCAAACTCATGCACGGATCTTATCCAGGGACAAGGGTAAAGGGCCGATCTTGAGCTGCATGGTGCGTCGCAGAGGCATTCGCTACTACAACGACATCAACTTTCCTTCAGACATTCCAATCGACCTAATCACACCAAACTCAGACAATGACCCCACGGTCAACTTCTGGGGCGAAACAATAAATCTCCTACCTGACTTCGAACTCCCACCGAGCACACCGAAGTCTCCTCCCAGCTTCCCTGCAAGAAATTACATCGACCTCTTGCCGTACTCTAAGACTTCGACCGCATTGTCAACCCAAAAATTGTTGGCATCGCGCGTCAGAGCCCTGAGAACTTCAACACTTGGTATCTTGACAGCTGCTGTGGGCAACACATGGTGGAATCACCAACATTCATTAGCAATTCAAGGCGCATGCGGCGACCGTGCGAAATCACAGTCGCCAACAACAACCGACTAAAAGTGTACGACATTGGAGAAATTTACCATGAAGCTGTGGACACCCGCTTCACCATTCACATCAGAGACGTGTTGGTTGTTCCCGATCTGCAGTACAACCTGCTCTCTTCAGCACAACTCATGAGGTGCGGAGTTGATATCCGAAGCAACATCAAGGAGAAAAGCTTTGAATTGTTCTACAAGGGTACTTACATCGGGAAAGCAATCGACAACGATGGAGTCTTCATACTACACTTCACGGCACAGGGAACAAAAGGTGACTCCGAACGTACTCTGCTGCTGAAGACGACACCCAATGAGGCACCGACTTGGTCGCACCCTGAGGATGGACCTCGAGCGCCCTCCTAAACCCTACCGTCGGCGCATGGGGGGTCGTTTAAACGCCAGAAGAAGAAACTATTACCAGAGGTGGTTGGGGAACACCGACTTTCGAAGGTGGATGGGGAAGCGGCTTGAAATCGCCAAACCCTCCTTATCCCAAGGCTCCAGCACTTCCTATTGCGAACGTAGCGGCAGGCGATCCATACTGGGCAACGCGCGGTACCAGTTGGGGTGGACCTCCTCTTCCAAACCAGAATGCTCCTGACACACTAGAGGAAGTACACGAGCAGTCAGACGAGATGACTTACGAGTACGGAGGAGCAGTGGAATCACCTGAACCTACCGAGGAAGCACCGCCACCGGAACAGGGTCCGCAACTGATTCCGGTCGCTGGCGATGAATACCTCTATCATTGCGTCCTAATGGAGGGACTTCCAGCTTCCGAATGGCCTGATGCGGCACGATTCCCACAACCACTCGTCACCGGCGACGCAGTTCACACTGCCGACACGGACGACATCGTCGGAATATCCGACGTCGTCCTGGAGCAAGTCTCCGCCCGAGTCTTTGCAGCTTATGCGGAGATAACTGCTACAACGGGAGCTAGACTACGGGCTAGGCGCGGGTGCTCGTGTGATCTCTGCGTTCGTTCGTTCACTTAGTCGTTTACTCATGCTTTCACTACTTGCTGGTTCAAGGGGGAATTTGGCAAGAGTTCCACTAGCAAAAGTTCACAACAATGGTAGCAACCACATTGGCATGACAGACTACATCAGAGCTAGCTAGGCTGCTGGTCGACCTCCACCGCAGCACGGTCGACCGCGCTCTAGCGCAGCAGCACTCGCACCGCTCAAGCGTTGCAGAGTAGCGATGCGCCAACGTTGCAAATCCATGGTGTGCCAACGCTGCAGCAAGTCAGCTGCACAGCGTTGCACCCGCAGGACAACGGTGCACCTGCTTCGCAGGTGCGTGCAGCTGGTTGGCGCTCCACACCTTGTCACGAGCACAGCGCAGATGCCTGGCAGACTCCACGCCAGCGAATGCGCCCACCAGCCACTTCGACCTCGGGATACCACCCCCGAGGTCAGCCTCGCAGACTCCACCCCGGCGACACTCGCGCTCGTCGCCCGGGTATCCCGGTCGACCGGGCAACCACGCCTGGTCAACCAGCGCAGTCCGTAGCCGGCCACCCATGCCCGGCGTCCCCAGTCCGGCGTCTAGGCGCCCAGGTCACCGTCCGAACTCCCAGGTCGGCGTCCAGACGCCCAGGACGCCTTGCAGACGTCCAAGGCGGCGTCCAGCCTCCCAGGACGCCGACCAGACGCCCAGGTCGGTGTCCGGCCTCCCAGGACGCCGTGCAAACGTCCAGGGTGGCGCCCACTTCCCAGGACGTTTTCCAGGCGTCCAGGACGCCAACCAGGCGTCCAGGACGGCGTCCTCCTGCTCGGCGCCCTCCATCCAGGCGCCCAGCAGCTCGGCGCCCTTGCAGTGGCCCCCGTGCCCACTGCTGCAGGCCGGCTACAACCCCCGCACATCCTACCACAAGGTCGGGCTCCGCCCAAGCGAGGACGGGGCCAAACAACACTCCCGTTGACACTCCCCTGCCGCGTTCACGCTTGGGCTCCCCCAGCCCACA